CTATAGGCTTGTCTGGATCTAACTCTACAGCCCTGGCTGGCTTTGAACTTATTTTAATCCTCCTGTCTCAGCAAGTGCTAGAATTATAGGCTTGAGCCACTGCACCTGGATTTCAAAATTTTAACACACTTTTAAAAGATGGTATTTCAAAACACAAACTGCCAGAGGATACAATAGTGAAAACCACATCTAAGACTAGAGTTACCATTTCTTGTAACTACGGGAATTTCCTTGCAGGAAAAGTGTGCTGTGCTGAGGGAGGCAACTATTCACCCCTCTGCCTATGCATAAGCCTTTAAGCTAAGCGACCTTCCAGAGAGTTATTTTGTTTATTTACTTGTGCATTTATTTAGTGTATCAAGTCACTATGTGGTATTTCTAAATTATGACACCATTTCCAAATATTCTGGAAATGGCTCTAAACAAACTTCTGAACTCTAGGTATGTGAAGAGGCATCTCCACTAAAGATTATTAAAATAAAAATAAAAATACAGATTAGCTGTGAGAAGTTGCTGACATGCTTTTTTTTTTTTTTGCAACATCAACTATACAGCCAAAATTTCTTTATGTGAACATGAATAAACATACCCACTTTGTTAGTAGGAAATTTTTACTGTGTATGTACTAAATGGCAAAATTGTTTTAAAATAAGTTCTAAAATTTTAAAATTTTACTGTGTATGTACTAAATGGCAAAATTGTTTTAAAATAAGTTTTAAAATTTTAAAATTTTACTGTGTATGTACTAAATGGCAAAACTGTTTTAAAATAAGTTTTTCTCTGCAGTTTCTTAACAGCTGATGTTTAATTTGTATACCTATTTTACATTTGAATACATTTGTCAGGTGAAAGGGGGTCATGAGCAGAAATAAATTAAGCCTACGCTAGAAAAATCACTTGGCTTTTGTGGGAAATGATGCTCAGTTAACTACATCCATGACAGACTTTCAACTTCATATGTAGATATGTATTTACATATGTGTGTATATGTGTATATATACATATGTGTATGCATGTGTGTATATATGTGCTCTCTCTCTCTCTCTCTCTCTCTATATATATATATATATATATACTATTTATATAGAGCCCATTGGCAAAGCAGACACTGAATTTAAATTTTTTTCCCCCTAGCTTTGAAGATGTATCAAGACTGTAAGAACTAGGACCAGGATCCCTGTTTCTATATAGTATCTACTAGCCAGGCCAGGGATGCTACACCCACGAAATCTCAACACTATGGCTGCCTAAACAGGGCCTGCATAATGACGCCAGTTAACATTCCAATATAGCTGGTGGAGATGTCACAGGGCCCCACCTTCAGAAGAAAAACAACCAGAAGCTTTGGAGAGGGAGAACAGATTTTCTCCAGGGAGGAGCTCCATAGTAGGCTCAGGTTCTCAATCCCAAACGCTCAGTCCTGAATTCATGTACACATGAGCAACGATCAGTGGTCTTAGCAGGCTGTGTATATTTACATATGCAACGATAATAATTACAGAAGAGCTCACGAATTTGAGAGGGAAGAACACAGAGAGAGTTGGAGGGGGAAGAGGAAGGGTTAGGAATGAGATAAATATAGTACTCATGCATGAAATTATCAAAAAGTTAAAGAAAATTCTTCTTTATCTTAAAGAACAAGTCAATAGCTTTAAGATATTTCCAACTTTTAATTGGATCTTTTAAAAATATTTTTGACTTTTTAATGTTATTTTCCTATTTCCTGTGTATTTAGTAGCATTCCCTAAAATGACAATAATTGTTCAGAGAGTCAGTGAATTTCACAGTGCACTTAACAATCTGAGAGATAAATTGTCAACAACACAAAGGCAGTCAGAGCTGGCTAAGGGAATAAAACACCAAAGGAAAAAGAATTATTCTTTTAGAGCTCCAAGGTGTAATATTTTGACAATAAATATGTAAATTTCCATATATGTATTAAATATCAGCTGAAAGTCAGTAGTTCATAAAGGGCAAATATTAATTTGTAAGTTTTAATTATTCAAAACATTTCAAATTGGAAATTAATGGGTTAAAGAATTCCAAGATCTGGGAGAACATGAAAATTGCTGTTGCCATGTTACTGGGCCATCGACGTCGTTCTTCACTCTTGACTAGCGTGCTTTCACTACACTGGCTGAGGAGGAATATGAGGACTGCAATCTGAGGCCTTTCTTAAGTACACCGTGCTTTAGACTCTCAACTGACCAAGAAGAACCTTTTCACATATTTTCTAGTGCCACTATGGATTGTTGGACATGTTAATGTCAACATCCAAAGAGCAGACCAGAAAACACACACCAAAGCCACTCATGGATAGAGGTATGACACAAGGCTAGCAGTTGACGGATTTGATTGGGGAAAGTGTGGTCAGCCCTGGCTTGATAAGGATCAGGCCTTCCTTCTAAGACAAATGAATGTTTTTAAGGACACCACTCTCTGAGGTGCATTTCTCTGAGGTTTTAATAAACTGCATGCCAAAACAGGTACCTTCTTGGATAAAGGTAACATCTGTTGCTATGCCTCACTTGTGGATTATTTCTTGAAAGTGACGTCCTGCGTTAAGCAATTCTAGGAAACAACGAGAGCTTATAGCTACTAATTTTGGGAGCTACAGACTGAAGACTCAGGGGCAGAATAGCTATTGTGGGGGTGGTGCAGTTATTTGACCAGACTGTAGAGTCGAATTGCTTTTCTTAATTCGGAGAAGTAATAACTAGTCTCCATAAACACTCCTAATGTATAAGAAAGGCCAAATCTACATGACACATCACTGTGGATGGGACTGTGGTACAAAATGGAACGAGCAATAAGCGGAGGTGGACAGGTACCCTCAGTGAACCCCTTTTCCTTTGCTCCCCAAACCAAGACTAAGCCAGTAGCCACACAAATGTGCAGTCAAGAACATGGCTAACTAAATGAATATGCAACTGAGGTTTGCTTCTTAAACTTCTGTCTTGTCTATTATGTTTCTATGTGTGTTTAGACAGAAACTGTTTTGAAAAATGCAGATCTGACTGTGGTGGTTTGAATGAGAATGTCACCCCGAAGTTTACCCACTTAAATACTCAGTCCCCAGTTTGTGGAACTATGTAGCAACAATTAGGAGGCTAGCCTTGTTGGAGGGCACAGGTCACCGGGACAGGCTTAGGGTTTCAAAAGACACATCTCCCAAGATTCTCTTTGCCTCCTGCTTCTGGATGAAGATGTGAGCTCTCAGCTGTTCCTGCCACCATTCCTCCATTCCACCATCATGGACTCTAACCCTCAGAAACTGTAAGCCCAATTAAATGCTTTATTTTATAAGCAGCCTTGATCGTGGCGTTTTTATCACAGCACCAGAGAAGCAAGTAAGACACTGGCTTTCTCTAAGGTTAGGGTTCAGGGACAATTAAACGTCTGGCCATTTAAGATACAACGAATCCTTTACATATAAATTTGCTGCTTATCTTCATTATCTAGATAATCACCCTGTGAAATGTGTCGCCATGTGCATTTCACATGTAAGACAATTAAAGGTCCAAGAGTACAGTGTTCTGCCAAGAGCCACAGAGCCAGGAAAAGCAGAAACAATTTCAATTCAAACCCAGTTCTGTTGCAGGCCAGAAACAAAAGTGGCCTTTCTTACCTAGTTTCTAAGCCTCTTATTCTCAATCTTCATTTCTTAAGGTTTTCAGACGCTTCCCCCTTCCATGAGCACTTTCCTTATCCTCATCGCAGGCCTTCACTTATTCCAGAAGTGTAGAGAGAGAAAACAGAACCAACAACTAGCTCAAACTGTAAAATGGTGTTTGTGGCTCCTACTCCCTGACAGTAGCCATGTTCCTAGCACATGATATATGGTTTCTTTCTTCTGTTCTTACTTCTGATGATGTTTCTACAAATTCTTGCAGTGTGACAAGACAATCAGATCTGTAGCTGTAAATCAAAAAGCACCAGTCTGGTGCCTAAGTGTCTAAATATGTGACTACTGGCCTTCTCAAAGAACTTACTGAATTACACATTCTCTACCCAAAGATGTTCATGAAAGTAGACTTGAAGTGTTGAAAGATGACGACTGTCAAGATAAACTAGTTGTCCAACCTTTCTATTAATAGGAAGGACCTAAACTATTAAATATGTATGTAATTACCAAAAGAACAAAATGGGGGAGAAAGAGAGAGAGATGTAAGAGAAAAGAGGGAGGGGGAGACAGAGTAGTTACATTTCTTATGGGAACCGGTGTAAAGAAAGGTATTCTACATTGTGAACTGGTATCCAATGGGTACACAACTAAAACAATGTTTCACAAAGCAATAGGACACAATGAACAACTCACTTTAACATTTCTCTATCTCCCTTCTTTCATTTCTTAAATAACACTCAGGTTAAATCAGATCCACAAAGCTGATTTCATGATATCCTAATGGGTCGGGCTGTGAGGCTGAAAGGCTGTAGCCAAGGACTATCAAATCCTGTGCTGTCACCACCTTTATCTTTTTCCCACAGCAGATAGCATTAATGCATCCCAACATTCTTTCTGAGTTCAGCCAAACTAGTATTCCCAGCAGCGAGTATCACTTGGATGGACTCAGTACAAAGACATCACATGACCACTAATTGCTAAGGAGCCAGGGAACAGGGACGGAAACACTTACTTCTCTTGTGTGTCCTCATTATAACTCCAGGGTTTACATAGAGTCTGGCACACAGCTGGCATTGAAAAGTGGAATCAGAGGGTAAGCTTTGGCTCCACAGACCCTCCATGGACCCTTTCTGTCCTGACTTGTGCCCCTTTGCTCTCTTTCAATATAAATCTATCAGAATTCAATGATCTTGAGCACTGGACATTCCCCCCCCCGTCCCCACCCCCGTTCTCCAGGCTGTACCTTGTAATAGTTATCGGCACAAAGTCACTCGACAGTGTCTGTTTCTCCCTAAAAACAACTGGTTTAGACCTATAGATCATGAAGATAAAGTCATCAGATAAGCTGGTCCAAGAAGGAATATGGGAAACTTACAGGCAGGGACCTGAGCTGGATACTGATGTACATTCTCTCTTTTCAACTCTTCAACAGCGTGATCAGTTTCACATAATTACCTCATTTTACTGGTGGGGAACCAAATCCTTAGAAAAAAGAAATACCGGTCATATGATTAGCATGTTTAGCAGGGCTAAGATTTAAATCAATCAATCTCCACCTCCCTCCCCAGCCCCTCCAGCTACTCCTAAAAATAGAATATAAAATTACAAAGAAACAATGACCAAAAAACCTCAAACTCATTTGACTGATGTGAATTTAACAGGTTATCACACTGAATAAACAAAACCCAGTACCTCAGTAATATGCTTCATCATATAACTTTCCTTTTTCTTTACCAAATCTTTGTGAGTTATTCATTACTGGGTATGTTTTTCTTGGCAGCGGTTAATCTTGGCTGAGACATAAATTCTTACTGTGAAACAATTCAGATATGTTAAGTTCTCTATTACACAGAGAAAAGTAAGACTGTCTGTGTTTATGTGTAGATGATGGGTCAGGTCCAAGGGGAAGTATAAAAGAGAAACAATACATGAATTGGGGGTATTTATACAGGGCAAGAAGTTAAAAGCAAATCCAAAATTGTGGCCTTTGGCTCTCATTTGAAGCAAGGTGAGGAAATGCTATAAAAGAGAGTAGAATGGGTCAGGTAACTCACATCTGCCCCAACTCAAGTACTTTCTCATGTGTAGACGTGGGGTCTGCAATGCTCAATTTGCCCAGTCACGAACATGAGTCATCGAAAAGTCCCTAAGGAGGTCTTTCAAAAACGTGTTTCTGTTACAAGTTTACAACAGTAATTCTCAAGCAGGAGCAATTCAAGGGACATCTGGCTAAAGCTGAGGGTATTTTTGGTTGACACAATTGAGTGACGGTCAGGAACGGTATTGAACTGTATGATGCATTGGGGATATCTACTGCTTACAACAAATTACATGGCCAAAATGTGATTAAGTACCAAGGCTGAAAGCCTCTGCTGCAGACTCCTCCCATCTGTAAAGCAGAGGTGGTAAGAGTGCCTGTTCGGATGATGGGTTGTTGTGAGCCCTGGTCTGCTTTATGTGAAGCATTTAAAATAACCTTGGTGTTGTGAATAATGAATAAAAGCTGTTATACCTGTATCTTCATCACCTAAGTGTAGAACGTGGCAGAATGGTGTGGCCCACTTACTAGGTGGATTGGGGGTGAGGAAAAAAAATCAAACAATTGTAACACAGAAATTATCAAAATATTTTTATTTTATGTGCGTTTATCTGCACATCACGTTGAGTGCCTGGTGCCCACAAAGGCCAGAAGAGAGCATCAGATCCCCTGAAACTGGAGGTAAAGATGGCAGTGAGCATCCACGTGGGTGCTGGGGACTGTGAACTCAGGTCGTCTGCAAGAGCATTAAGTGCTTCTAAATGCCGAGTTTTGTTTTTTTTTTTAAATCTTTAAAAACTGAAATATATTGCATCCAGTTTTTACAAGGGGTGTGACCAGTGAATCCTACGTAGAACTTTATAGGAAACACTCCAAAGGAAGATGTGTTAGAAAGACAAGATTACACATTTATAGACTCTTGAATCTACCATTTCTCCTTTCAGGAGCTTTGGATAATAGCCTACCTTCCTCAGTAGTCATTAGCCGCAACGAGAACCTGGACCCCTCCATTTGAAATCGGTTTCTCTCTCTCTGTGTGTGTGTTCATGTGTGTGCAGGGTCATGTGTCCACAACTACATATGTGCAGGACAAAGAAGTATGTTTCATTCTAATCTTATTTTTTGAGACAGGGTCTCCCATTAAACACGAAGCTAGCCTTTAGACTAATCTAGCTGGACAGAATCCTACCCAGTTCCCCTTATCCCCAGCCCTGTGGGTTACAGGTATGCATGGTCATGGCAGACTTTTTGGGTGCTGGGGATTTGAACCCATGTCCTCTTGCTGTCAGAACCCACTGAGCCATCTCCTCAGCCCCAGAAAGTTTTAGGCCACGTGTGGTTGTTCCTTGAACACATGCTTTCTCAATGGTAAGGCCACCACGATCAAACGAAATGAAGAACAATGCCAATTCCCAGGATGATTATTCCTCTAAATTTTTATTATTATTTTATTTAAAAATAATATTATTATTATTATTCCTCTATAATTTTTATCATTTGAGATGAACACGAGATGTAGAAATTAAATACTAAGTTATGTGCTGTGCTTTGTAGATGAACCCCATTTCTTTAAAACATAAAGTAGGACTAAAAGAGAAGTCCATGGATGCAAAAGTAGCCCCAAAAGATATCCCAGCCTGTTGTTAGGTGCTAAGTCAGCAGACAGTATGGCACAAGACTGAGGCTTTAAGAACTATGACAGCTGAGGACAGACACACATATATTAGGCATCAAGTAAGTGCTTGTTATGGAGGGCTGAGCAAAGATTCGTGGGGGCAGAAGTCCCAGTTACTGTAACTTTTATGGGTGAAATGCACTACGGCAAATAGATAGAATTTAAAAGCAAAATACAAGCATCTGCCTTTTGTAGGTATTTCTAGATGAGCTTCCTGACGGTTCTTGTCTGGGCATCTAGGTGGTCAGAAGGTATTAATGCAAGGGTGTGTGTGTCGCTTGCCATTCACTATGACATCAGCAAGAGACAGTAGTTATTTATTTTTTATAGTTTTTTTTTTTTTACTTTTGTATTTATTACAATTTATTCACTTTGTATCCCAGCTGTAGCCCCCTCCTTTGTCCCCTCCCAATCCTGCCCTCCTTCCCTCTTCTCCTCCTATGCTTCTCTTCCAGTTTACTGATAGGGGATTTCCTCCTCCCCTTTCATCTGACCCTTGCCTATCAAGTCTCATCAGGTCTGGCTGCACTGTCTTCCTCTGTGGCCTGTTAAGGTTGCCTCCCCCCACCCCAAATGCTGTTTTGTTTTTTAATTTTGAGATATGTTCTCACTACGCAGTCCACACTGGCCTCGGGCTCCTCATGATCGTCTTGCCTCTGCCTCCCAAGTGCTAAGATTACAAGCATGTACTGCCATGGCTGGCTTTTCTTTAAATGCAGGTTCTGGGATTTGAACTCAGGTCCTTAGACTTATAAGAGAAGCACCTTCTATCTACGGAGCTCCCAAGTCCCTATGTGTGATTTTTTATTAACAAATTAAAGACAGGCCTAACATAGTTCTCATGATGACCATCAAGTCAAAGGTATGCCATACATAAATCATTTCAAGTATCCAGAACAACTGTAGTGTGATAGTAACATATCCAAACCCATCATGATAAAGTCACAGTTACGGTAAATATGACTTCATTTTACTGCCTCACTTATAACTGACAAAATGCCAAGCTTCAATTAGAGATTAGTAAAAGCCAATACAATTTTTATAGTTTTATCAACGTCATGCCACCTTGAATTCTATCTGCAGCCTCCCCGTGATCTACGGACTCTAAGCAGGAAACCTTGAATTCAGATGATTTTCTGAAGGCTTAAGAATGTTGAGCAATGAAAAGAACAAAAACAGATTCATCACGCTGTCTAATTTCTTTTCATTGGAAATAATTCCAGAAGACTCTTCCTCCACTGCAGAATAAAACTGTGCGTGTAAACAATCTCTGCGTATATGAACTCTTTTGATATTCTTGGTGAGGAAGGCATTAGTTTAGCTTAATCCCACTTAACAAATGAGGAAGGCAAGGCAGTGAGTTTTAAGTCTTGTCGAAGCTAACACATATGGAAGCTAAGTGCTGAGCTAGCACTGGAACCCATGGGTTCATAGTCTGAGGTCTGTGTATTGTTCCTAAGTTTTGCTTGGAAGCTTTGAGGGGTGGCGTGGAGCAGGATTTTATAGATATATATGTACGTATAAACACACACACATATGTATATATACTATATTATATATTATAATATATTATATCTATATAAGTATATAGTATATATACATTATATGTATATATATGCATCTATGTTTATATGTATACATATATACAAATATATACGTATGTATACGTATTATACAATGTACATGTATACAAACACGTATATGTGCATGTTCATATATACAGATATATGCATGCACGTATGTATACACATACATATGTATACATGTATACACATACATATTATATATACAGCAACTGTAAGCAGACTGCTGCTCAGACTGAGCAGTCCCAGTAGCTAATGGGCAGTATGTCCTGACTTCCCTGCTCGTTCACATATATGATCATGCTTAATCTAGCATCAATTCCAGAATGCCAGGTGCTCTGGGAACTCCATTTCTAATACTGTCTGTTCCAGTGATTTCTTTCAGTGCTAGAAATTTCTGTGTTGCCTTTAATAGTCATAGGCAAACACAAAATGAAAAACAGTGGCTTCCACTGTTTTTTGGTTTTTGCAAACCACCTTAGAATATTCTTTTGTATTGGGATTGGGCGTACTTAGGATGTTTTTCTAAAACCCAGCTCTCAAGCTCTCTCAGAGGTATTGCTTTCTTGGAACATACCCAATGTGTTCCAATGAGTACTGATGAGGTGAAAAACTTAAAAATTCTAATATTCTTGCTGTCTAGATGTCATTCATACATTATGAAACTTATATTCTGCATTTATTTTTTACTTTAAACTCTCTAATCTTTTAACCTTTTTGTTCTGACCTTTGAATTTATTCTGATCTTGCTTTCCACATAAATATTATTAAGTCATCTATATTAAAGCTCTCCTCTGTATTACAATCACTGCTTTACTTAGCCTGCAAACTCTGTCCACTCTTTAGGCAGATGTTTCTCAGTTTTACCATGTCCCCCACACCGACTTTCAGACACAACAAAATGTTAGCCTTGAAAGGGGTCTTTGTGCTTGTACAAGACCTTTAACCCAACACAGAATACAAGCTAATTTGTCCAACTTCTCTTCTGTCTCAGATAGATTCCAGTGGGAAGATTAGGTGAGAACCTTAAATCCAAGTATTGCTGGACCTGGAAGTCAGGGTGTGCATGGTGTGTGTTGACACACATATGCCTCGACACACATGTGACAGTCAGAGGACAGCGTGTGGGAGTCTGTTCTCTCCTTCCACCATGTGGGTTCTGGGACAGAACTGAGAACATCAGGCTTGGTAGCAGTGGGCACCTCTCTCTACACTGAACCAGCCTTGCTACTACACAATAACTGCATACATTAGAACTCTGAAAGTAAAAATGAAAGAAGGAAGGAAGGAAGACAGAGAGAGAGGGAAGGAAGGAAGGAAGGAAGGAAGGAAGGAAGGAAGGAAGGAAGGAAGGAAGGAAGGGGAAAGAAAGTTATCCTTTTATTTACTTGTTAAGGTTCAGGGGAAAATGTTCCAAGTGTTTTTCATGGAATGATCACCAGAGATTTACAATCCATCTAAAACAGTACACATTGTTCCCTAACAGACCATCTTTTGGTCATGAACATCATTGCATCTTGACGGACGTGGACTGAGGCTTGACCCAATTTTAAAATTTAAAAAAGAACACGCACACTATGACATAATGATTTCCCAAACCATTTTTTTTTAAAAAAGGCTTCACAAATAATCTGCTTAAATATCATGAAATACAGAAAATCAAAAGCGGAGATGAGGCAGGAAACACACAGGGTCAAAGGATGAGACCGTGACATTTAGGAGATTTCTGACATCTTTAACCTGGCCAGGCTAGTTTTCTTTTTTCTTTTATGTGCTTTGGTATTCTGCCTGTTTGTATGGGTGTGTCAGAACTGTAGTTACTGACAGTTATGAGCTGCCATGTGGGTGCTGGGAATGGAACCTGGGTCTTTTGGAAGAGCAGCCAATGCCCTTAACTGCTGAGCCATCTCTCCAGTTCTGCCAGGTCAGTTTTCCAGGTTTCTAGTTCGTAAAATAGAAACAATCATTGCAGCTAAATCACCAGCACTGTGGAGATGGGTCTTCTATAGCACAGACAAAGCACAGCACACAGAAAATGATTGACAGACGCAGGCAGGTAACTGCTGTAGTTGATACTGCTCTGACAAATAAGACAGATGACCATATTTTATTCGATTTTGACAAAAAGCTTTGCATGTTGATTCCCTGGCTTAGAAGGCAATTCTCTGTGTTAATATTTGGAGGTGGGTTCTGAACTCTAAGTGAGTGATGATGGCTTAGACTGTTTTTACATTTTAGCATTTCCAGCATGAATTATTTTTAGCTTAGGTAATTAGTGCTAAAGCTTGTCAGCTTGCCATTTGTTTCTTCCGCTTCTAATTTAAAAAGTTTTACAAACAAAGAAACAAACAAAAACCCAGAAACTACTAACACTTGTGATTGGTAAAATGAATTCTTCAAAACAAAGACTGGCTTAAAGAATTTGTTTCTTAACGGAGACTTACTTTTCCATTTTCATTTAATGTTTTGATTGAGTATTAAATGAAACAGGACGTTCTGGACATCAGCTGTGAACAATTATCAAATGCATTTATCTTAACAGGAAAGCGGATCTTTCAGATTCATCCTCTTTGTCATTACTTCTGATGTACGGCCATTCTTCCAGAACTTGAAAACTCCCAAACAGGAAAAAAAAAAATCACATTAATTTAGTTCCTTAAAAATTATTACAAGTGGTCTTTGTTTTACATCTTTCTCATCTTATTTTCATGTATTTCTTTTTTTGATCAAAATACTTTTAGTTAACTGGAGGTTGAAAGTGATAAGTCACTGGAAGAAAACATCTTTGGGCTAATTTGACTTAAAATTTAATAAAATAAGAGGATTTGAGTGAAATTTTCCTTTTATATAAAACTAGAAATTTGTCTCCAGAAATTAAAATCTTATAAAATTTCTACCTGCTTAGTTACTGGAAGCAATCAGGAGCTAGTCCTCAGATGCCAACTTAGGTATAAATCTGTTACTTTGAAACACAATCCAAACTTTCTCTTTGTTTGTGCATGTTGCACTTAAAACATCACCTTAATCCCATCTCCAAAGACAAAAACAAACAAAAAAACGAGCTGGGGGCTTTAATCTGTCATTGGGGCTATGGAGTACAGAGTGGTGTTTTAGAATTATTTAAGTCAGGATGAAAACCAGAGTTTACTTTTATTTTATTTTTAGGTTTAATTAAGTCCCACACTCTACTCATTGAAGAGAAACCAGTTTCGAGTTATGGCATAGAACAGGAAGAGAATCACCAGGCAACAGAATGACCAGCAGGAATTCGAAAGCTCTGGTCTAAAGCTACTTGAATCCTCGTTTAAAAGACTCCACTAACCCTGTAGGGCCAAAGAGCTCAGACTTCCATCCATCTGCCCACTCACTGCTCCTGGGTCCTATTTTTAATCTGGTTTTGTTTGCTTTCAGTGCTGAGGATTGGACCCAGGGCTTTGTGGGCGCAAAGCAAGTTTACTGTTCTTATTTACGACTCACAAAAAAGAATTAAGTTAGTGGAGTTGAAATAATCACTAAATGGCCAGGCTTAAGTCAGGAAACAGTTAACACACTCCACAGGTGACTCAACAGCGACTTTGTGAGAGGGCGTGTGCTCTGTAATTTAGCCATCTTAGGCTGTGTTGAGTTAGTAGCGCTCATCAGTTTGACTTTTGGACTCACAGTCCCTCACCCATACTGAAGCCCTAGATTACCAGCAGTGCCGTTTTCAACTTAGATGTATAACAATATTGGTCTCAACTAGATAGTGCACATCACATTTAAATCAGGGAGAAATAAATAAGTAAATCGCTCAGCCCACAAGTTCCAGGGCATGACTTCCAGGGATGAATTCTCTGAGTTAGTCAACACACGTTCAATTTATTAACATGGTCAAAGACTATCGGAGGTTGACAATTAAAGACATCAACTGTCAGGTTAGATTGGCTTTTAGACACAGAAGGCTTTCTCCCCATCCCCTTTGCTGCCATCCTGGTTCAGAATCAGAATTATTTCCAAAGAACATCAACTTAAAACATAGCGAAGACAATCCATCAAAGAATTACTTCAGCAGAAGAAAACATGCCAACTTGAAAAGTTAAATTTACTACTTTGTTATACTTTTTCCATCTTCCAAATTGTATAAACTGAAGTGTTTCTTTCTCCCCCTCCCACCAAAGAACTACAATGCGATCTGTAAACAATTCAAAATAAGCAAAAAACTTAAATGTACTCTTGAGCCCTATATAGACTCCTACGCACTACCCACTGTGGGGGATTTATAATTAAATCATACTATGTCTTGAAATTTTTTCCCAATTAGTTTGAAAGCAGTTTGAATAAGGCTACTGCCTATACACAAATGGCACTAATTTCCCCATTTGAGTATAAGTCTTTTAACTCCATTTTTTAGGCCCCCGGGAAAGGAAGCGGAGCTGAGCTGGACAGGGATGGATTTGCTGTGGAACATGAAATCCGCTTTGCCAATGGCAGAGCTGACTCCAGCCTCTACTGTCTGTCAGACTTGGTAAAGGGCGTTAAACGCTCAGACTTCTTGTTGTTCTGAATTCATGCAGACTCAGGTTGATGGGGTAGGAAGAAGATCAACACGCATCACTTGCCTTATTAATTTTCCCCACGGTGTCTAGCACCGGAATGATCTGTCAGAAGCAGCACAAAGAAAGAAATGGAAAGTGAGCCAAAAAACACCCATAGTATGAGCACTGACTGTCAATAAAAATTGTATTTTCCCTGGTAAAAGTGTATTTTTAAGTTACTAGAATTACTGTTTTGCTCCAAAGATTGGTGCTATTTGTGATATTGAAATAATGGTGTCTTAAAAGAGTATTTATCTTAAAATAGAAATGACTTAGTTAATTCTGTGTAATTTGTAAGTTGGCTTCAAGTGCTCGGTAGCTAGGATCAGCTAGAAAATATAAAACAGAACATATCTGATAAAGTCAGGATCAGGGTTTCAAGGTTTTTGGGTATGTTTTCCGCCTCTATTGTCACGCATGCAATAACTATATATTGGTTAAAATGTTGATTATATAATAAAGTAGAAAATGCTAGAGAATCTACAAGTAAATCTTGCCATAAACTCTACCTTTTGATCTCCTTACTACTGAAGCCAACACAGATTTTCCTCATACCCATGCTTAAATTTTAAATTCATCTCAAACCTCTTCCCGATTTTTTTTTATAACGTCTCAGAGTCTCCCACACAGAAGAACATAGAATGAAAAATAGCCTGAGATTCTGCAATGAAGCAAGCGCATTAGGGCACTTACATGCACAGATTAAACAACTGATCTACTTTCTACACAATTTATTGCCATTCTTTAAAAAACCCCAATGAAACTGTAGCTCACAATTCAAAAATCAAATCAGCCACTTTTTACATAAGTTGGTTCTATTAGATTTAACAAAGTTTTTTTTTTCTACATTACAGAACTATGTTATAACAAAATGTATCACTCATTAAAACTTTTGAAATATTTGGGGGTTACTTTTAAGCTAAGTTAGTCACTAACTACATCAGGAAGATGTTGAAGCATTATTATTAGTCCTTTTTTATTTACGATTAGAGAATTACATTTCCTAAAATATCTTCAAATTCCATATTAACCTTTAATACTATATTTATCCCTAAAATGTTAATAATCAGGCTACATTATAGTCTTTTTACAGTTTAAGAGCCCCACAATGTTCAGATGATCAAAGTACATAGACATGGATGAAATAGTGGCAACTATGGAAAATTTAATGATATATAATCTCAAGATGTCAATACCTCAGCAAAACACATTCTACAAAAACCTATCGGCGAAGAAAATTATTTAAGTCAATCAATGTTCTGTAAATTACCCTAAATAGTTAACAACTGTATTTAATAGAGCTTCTGGCGCAAATCAAGAAAACTGATTTCAAACTGAGTAAAAAAAATTACACACAGAGAATGTTTTTTTCTTGCTTTCCATTTCCATAAGGATATTCAAAGAGTAAACATTTCATAGTTTTCTTCTTATGATAATCTAGTTAAAATTTCAAAACAAGCCGAGTGCATGCTGTCAGTCTACGTATTTTGTCACTATTACATAGGCTTCAGAACGTATAAAACTTCACCAAGCGCCTACTAGAGACTTAAGTTTCTTGCTTTTCACACCTACCATGAAACCAATAGCTGCATACATAATAAAGACCCTACATGATGCAAAGAAAAAAGTTTCCATAAGCCCTACCCCCAAATCTATTAAAGACAAACCAAAAAATGCCTGTCTGGGGGCCAGCTAGCCTGCACAAGTTACGACGGAGAAAGACAGCTAACTATATTACTCTTTGGTGGGGCCGACTATACACCCTTATTTCCACCTTTTTGATGATAAAAGTCAAGGTAAAGGCCTTACCTAAGGAACTGCCTCTGGAAACACTGAAGAAAAAACAAAACAAAACAAAACAAAACAAACAAACAAAAAAAAAACAGAAAAAGAGTGGAAAACAACCTAAAAAGTTAGCCCCTCTTCCAACCAAACACAAAACACAGGAAATCTCAAGCTGGCCGTCACTTTTAAAACGCTTAAAGCAAAAGTCAAGTTACCAAAACTTTCTCAAAACAAATTACAAAACAGAGTGTTGTGGAAACTTCTGCCCACCAAGCATTTTAATCCATAGGTAATAAACTTTGCCCCAAAATCTTGCATACAGGCCCCTCACCCCCGCCACTACCCACCACCACCAATTGCACCTCAATGGCGCCAGAACTTCAATGAGGAAGCTGAAAGACCGGATTCGGCTTTCAGAACAGGTCCCCGGGCAGGAGGGTGCTGGCTTGAGCCACAGCTCCAACCCTGGGCGCAGGTTCTGAGTCCGCATTCCTTGTGCTATTGCCTTCAAGGCAGGGACAAAGCTGCCCCCGAGAAGCTTGTGCCCGTTTCGCTGCCTTTCTTACACGGCTACTGTCTGGCTTAGGGAACCCTGCAGCGGCTGTCTCTTCGAGGAGCCGAGCATTTCCAGGTGGGGTCAGGGCTCACGAACACCCTTTCCCCGCCGTACGCCCTGAAAACAAACGAATCCTCCGGGTTGTGCGCCTGATTTCGGTTCCCTCCACCGGAGGAGCCCGGGAAGTTTCCAGGCACCGGGAGTTTGAAGCGGTGCGTGGGCTGCTCGGGGACTCCCCGGCGGAGAGCGCTCGCGCCCACCGCGCTCCGGGTCCCTGCGCGCTCGAGGATCGCGCGCGGCCCGGTCGTGTGGCAGAGCGCAGGCGGCTGTGCGGGACCGCGCTCCGCTCCCCACGCGCCCTGCTGGGCCGCCGGCTCCCTCACCCACTCCCTCCCATCCCCGGGCGGCTCGCCGCGCACCCACGCCCGCTCACCTGCTGTCTCCCCGCGCCCCGCGCGCGCGTCTGCGTCCCGCGTTGTGCGCAGGTCGTAGGCGCCGCGGGCTGTGCCACCTCCGTGCGCCCACACCTGCCGCGCGGCTCGGCGCCCCGCCCCGACTCCGCCCCGAGGGGACCCGGCCGCGCCTCTGCTGGGCCAGCGCGGATTGCTCACAGCTCCGGAGCGCCGCGGCCCGGCGAGGTAGGCGACAGCCACCGCCCGTGCTGCAGCCACCGCATGGCCACCTGCGGGAGCCAGAGCACTCCGGAGGGAGGTACTGGCGGCTCTGCCAGCAGGCGTTCTCGGAAACCCTGGCGAGTGGTACAGCCCTGGGGGCTCTCAATGGCATTCAGGCCATACTAGCTATCCCATGCCTAGTATTCTGGATCTTGCGCTTCAGGAGCAGCCTGGTTGTTCTGAACCTCTCTACTGTCCTTCTGTTTGGATGAATGCTCCCATGCACTGCCGGGTCTCCAAGCACGTCATTTTTATTGTCCGATGAGATTCATGTTTTAACACTATAGCGTACAAGCAGAGACGTGTGCTTCCCCAGTCCTTTCCAACTAAGTTTCAGTTACCTAAAAAATACAGAATTATACACAGCAACATTTTTTTCTTTTCCTACAGTCTGCAAGAACAGCATGAGGATGGAAATTGTCTTTGTGCAAGTAAATGCAATTACATTTTAGCAAAGGGCCCGTTACCCCCAAGAAAAATTCTACAGGGGTGAGGAAAGGAGATGAACAAGAATCATAATGATGTTTTATTAAGGATGTGATAATATCTCAGCGTAAAAATCGTTTCTTCAACCCAGGTGAAAATTACTCACCAGATGTTCCCTGATGAAGCGGTCCTCATTTACGTAGCCAAATATGGAAAAGGCAAGCCAAACAGGGTTGATTTCTTACTCCAAACACACTTACGTGAACATCTATATGAGCTCAAGACTTATGTGAGAGACCCAAGTTTAATTTTTCCTTATAAAGCAGGTGCACAAAACGTTTCTATGCTCTCTCCTACACTGAAGGATGTGTTGGAAGGTCGGTGACTCTCGTAATGGTTAGTTGGGTTGCGTACACAATAGTAGGAATCATTACACTCCATCTTAAAATGGCTCTGACTCATGAACTCCATCTTGAAGAACTGAAAACTCTCAAGCTTGATCGACTACTTTGATCAAGAATAAGAATCAACAATGAAACATGTCACTGTTAAAATGGTCCTGCAATTTTTGAAAAAAAAAAAAGTTTTAAAGTTTATAGCCATAGTATATTAGGAAAAAAAAAATCAAATGCTTCCAAAGCATGAAAAGCATGCCTTAAAATAAGAACCTAGAGTCAAATGTTTGTTTGGGGGAAAACATGTAGTTAAATCTATCTATAAGAAACCCAAAAGCACTCTTTGAAGTGCAAAAATATTACTCTAGATTTATTTATTGAATCAGGATATCGTCAGATGTAGGTAGCCATTTAAACATAAACCTTTTGATAAGATGGTGGGAAATCCTTTTATATGACTCTCACCAGGAAAGGCTGTCAAATTCCAACAGAAAACTCAGTCGATGGCAAACACTTTGTTTATGGCACTTTTAAAAAAGGTTTTAGATAGAAACCTAAAATAATATTACAGATAAGATTACCTAATTGTTTACGTAAAATTATGTATCATGATACTTTGAAAAAAACCAATAAAAGAGATACTATATCTCAAATTATAAACATCAACCTAAAGAAAAACAAGCATTTGTCTTTCAGCCTTTGATCCAGGCAAACAAGTTGTTCCCAAACAAATACAAATGACGGTATCATAATTTTGAACACCGAAGTCCTGCACAAAGCATGGAAAAGAAGCCCTCGTCTTATCCATTAAAGTTCTGATGAACTTCTAAATGGAATATACCAAACGATTTCAGTGTTGGTCATTCACCCAAGCCATTGGTAATATTGCCAGTTTCTTAGACTTTAAATATGATTAAAAAATTAAAAAATATAACAGTGATGAATAAAACACTAAATCTTTAAAAAAAAACAATTGTGGTTCCTTGTTTGCATTTACAAAACCTATGAAGTTTTCAGAACTTTAAAAGAATTGTCTTCTAGTTTTAATTTTTTGAAAGCTCCAATCCCACACCCTTTATTTTTAAATAATAGTATCAGATGTAGAAGGAAAGACGGGAGTCATGCATTTTGGGTTTTGTGTGCAGGGAGAAATAAATAACTCTAATGGAGACAAGGTCATGCTTTGTACATTAAATATCACTGGTAAATATGAACAAGCCAAGGGTGTTATCTGACATTGTGCTGAGTTTTAGAATGTTACGTTAGTGTTATTTTCTCTGAACGTTTACTCAAAAACACATATTTTGTTTCATCTAATTTCCATACAGAAGAACAGTAAAGAAATGCATAAATTGGACTGGAGAAATAGCTCAGCGGCTGTTCTTCCAGAGGTACTGAGTTCAATTCCCAGCAACCACGGTGGCTTTCAACTGTCTGTAATGGAATCTGATTCCCTCTTCTGCTGTGCATGAAAACAATGTTCATATACATAAAATAAATAAATAAATAAATCTTTTAAAAAAAGAACATTATGCAAAGAAATTATTATTTAAAAAAGAAATGCATAAATTATTGAAATAAACTAAGTGAGGAAGAGAATGAACCATATTCAGTTTTTCTTTTATGAATTTTTTATAGAAGCCTGTTCAAAAGGTGTTTGGTTCCATTCCATTACAAATGAAATGGGACATCCAGACAGCTCAGTGGGTAAGGGAAGTGGGTAAGCTTCATGACCCAAGTTTGATCCCCTAGACCCACATGATGGAAGTGACCAACTCCTGCAAGCTGTCCTTGTACTTTCACCTGTGTACCATGGCTGGAGCATGTGCATTTACACACACACACACACACACACACACACACACACACACACCTCAAAGGCTAAGTAAACAAATATAGGAATAATTTTAAAAAGTGAAATAACATATTTGGATTACCTTTAGGTACGCAAAATTTATTAAACACTAAATCAGTTTGAAGAATTTTTCAGCATTGCTTACTCAGCTACCATTTTAGGGAGTGTCATGAGACATTTTGTTATTGAAAATATAATGAATAACACCAGCTATTAACACACAGTGGCTAACATGCAGAAATCTCTGAATCTCACAAACAAATCTTTCTGATCCATGGTTGTGCTTATTTTTGAATCATCCATATATTGAGACCACAAATGGTAACAGTGAGAAGGAAGTAGTTCTCAACTCCAAACACTCGGAAGCTAAGAGTAAGGCTACACAGACTTGACATCAATCACGACCCGGGCTGAGATGGTGTAATTTTCTGTACTATCTAACTCTGATTTCATCTCTTGAAAGCAATATCATAATAGCTTCAGCCAGGCTACAGATGCAAATCATCCATATTCATTACTTGTAATCCACCTCACAACTTATAGAGACATCAAATGATAAGTACCACAGAAGCAGAGAAGCACTGAAACCCAACTGTAATATACTTAAGATCATTCCAAAAGAAAAAAAGTCAGTCATTCTTCTTACCCAGATTCTGGTGATGGCTTCCAGTCTGTTAGATTTAGTTTAAGGGAGTGATGATATGGAGTAGCATAGGGCTATATATGAGAGAAAATGGGAGGGGCTTCTGGGAAGTGCTTTGTGTGACAGATGTGCAGGATTGGATCCACAACTAGAGACTTCCTGCTCCCTGGGGGTGTACCACAGACTAGCAGCATTGGCATCACCTGGGAGCTTGCCTAAAATGCTGCTGAGCCAGAATCAGCCTTCCAAGATGCTCAGTGTGAGCACACACCAACATCGGTGGAGGGCTGTCTGATGAGATGAAGAACTGAGACAAATGTTGCCTATTCTGTGGTTTTGGCCACCTGGAAAAGCAGAGAAATACTCATGCTATTAAAAATCCTGGGATTTTTTTTTTTTTTTTTTAATGAGGACCTCAAGTGGGGTAAAAGATTTCTCTAGGTAAGGATTTTTCGATTGTATCAGCACCACAAGCTAGTTAGACACATTTGTCTGGAGGATGCAAATGGCCTTTGGTGTGTGTCCTGGACTGTTGTCTGTTTTGCTTCAAGTTCTTCAGAATTAGGCGAAAAATCCCTGGCTCAGTCTCTTTGCAGGTTTTAGAGACTGAAAAAACAAAAACAAAAACAAAACCCAAAAACCACAATTCTGAACGTGTACTTCCCTTAAAAGGCAGTTGTGTTTGTCATCTTCTTAAATGGTCTGTTGCTTGCTGTTTGGGAGCTCCTTTTATAACCAATCAAAACCCTGTCTGTTTAAACTGAGCTTGTGTTCTGGTTATTCACAGCATGATACATAGGTCACTTAAAAAAAAAAAAAAACCTTCAAACTCATTTGGACAATCTATTTTTTCATCAAGAAATTTTTTTTTCTTAAGAACTGGAAAAGCACAATGGTCAAGCTAAACTGACAAAAATGTTGGGATGCCCATCTCTTAGTGTATGTGTGAGAACATAGTAATCAAAGGGGGAAAATGGAACTCGTGGGTTCTTCCAGTACTGTCAAGACAGCCCTTGAAGATTTTTAAATACCACCCTAAATTTGAATCACCCATTTCTTATTCTAAAGAACTTGGCCAGTTATTTTTTTAAAAAAATGCAGTTACTTGCAAAATAAAAATACAGAAGTGATGCATTGTGCTTTGAATCATTTTGAACAGTATACATGATAATCAGCTGATTCCATTGTGAAAAGGGAGTTCTAGAGGTCATGTTTGAAGGAACTGTTGTGTTTATAAACTAGATCAGACAATGGGTACCTTCTTATACTGGCGTATAGACTACAAAGAAAAACACAGTCAGGCCTCATAACACAGCAGACGTCACTGGGTCGCTCATTGTGGATAAATTCCCAAGATCCTTGTTCCTTGTCCCTTGATTTGTCAACTAGAAGAAAACAGTGAAAATACTGAAATGCTGACCTCTGTAACCACTGCAAAATTAAACAGAATACTGTGTATGAATTGGTTAGCATAGTTTAAATGGCATTGCTGAAGGAGA